CGATCTCGGCTAACTGCAAGCTTCGCCTCCTGGGTTCATGCCATTCTCCCGCATCAGCCACCCAAGTAGCTGGTACTACAGGCACCCGCCACCTAGTCCAACTAATTTTTGTATTTTTAGTAAAGACGGGGTTTCACCATGTTAACCAGGATGGTCTTGATCTCCTGACCTCATGATCCAACCACCTCGCCTCCCAAAGTGCCAGGATTACAGGCGTGAACCACCGCAACCAGCTAAGAGTTCCTCTTTTTCTATTGTTTGGAATAGTTTCAGAAGGAATGTTAGTAGCTATTCTTTGTACCTCTGGTGGAATTCAGCTATGAATCTGTCTGGTCCTGGGCTTTTTTTGGTTGGTAGGCTATTAATTACTACCTCAGCTTCAGAACTTATTGGTGTATTCAGGCATCTTCCAGATGTCAGCCGGAGCTCTCCTGTATGAGGTGTCTGTCCACCCCTGCTGGGAGGTGTCTCCCAGTCAAGAGGCACGGGGGTCAGGGACCCACTTGAGGCGGCAGTCTGTTCCTTAGCAGAGCTGGAGCGCTGTGCTGGGAGATCCGCTGCTCTCTTCAGAGCCATCAGGCAGGGACGTTTAAGTCTGCTGAAGCTGCGCCCACAGCCGCCCCTTCCCCCAGGTGCTCTGTCCCAGGGAGATGGGGGTTTTATCTGTAAGTCCCTGACTGGGGCTGCTGCCTTTTTTTCAGAGATGCATCGCCCAGAGAGGAGGAATCTAGAGAGGCAGTCTGGCTACAGCGGCTTTATTGAGCTGTGGTGGGCTCTGCACAGTTCGAACCTCCCTGGCAGTTTGTTTACACTGGGAGGGGAAAACCACCTACTTAAGCCTCAGTAATGGTGGACGCCCCTCCTCTCACCAAGCTCAAGCACTCCAGGTTGACTTCAGAGGGCTGTGCTGGCAGCGAGAATTTCAAGCCAGTGGATCATAGCTTGCTGAGCTCCGTGGGGGTGGGACCTGCTGAGCTAGACCACTTGGCTCCCTGGCTTCAGCCCCCTTTCCAAGGGAGTGAATGATTCTGTCTTGCTGGTATTCCAGGCGTTACTGCAGTATGGAAAAAAAAACTCCTGCAGCTAGTTCAGTGTCTGCTCAAACGGCCACCCAGTTTTGTGCTTGAAACCCAGGGCCCTGGTGGTGTAGGCACCCAAGGGAATCTCCTGGTCTGTGAGTTGAGAAGACCATAGGAAAAGTGTAGTATCTGGGTCAGAATGCACCATTCCTCAAGGCACAGTCCCTTACAGCTTCCCTTGGCTAGGGGAAGGAGTTTCCCACCCCCTTGCGCTTCCCAGGTGAGGCAACGCCCCACCCTGCTTCTGCTCACCCTCCGTGGGCTGCACCCACTGTCTAACCAGCCCCAGTGAGATGAGCTGAGTACCTCAGTTGGAAATGCAGAAATCAACCACCTTCTGCATTGATTTCGCTGGGAGCTGCAGACTGGAGCTGTTCCTATTCAGCCATCTTGCCAGTCACCTCTCACTTTATTGTTAAAATTATCTTAATGATAAAGGTCCTGAAGCTCAGAAGGTACTCAGTATATAAGTGTGTTGAACAATGCATATGTGACTGACAAGAGTATCTGCCTTACTTAAGGACTGAAAATTGTCTGGTGCAGTTAACACAGTGCTATTATGGGCTTAATGCAGGCAGAATAATTTTTTTAAATACGTAAGAAGTTGAAAGTAAAAAAGAAAATAAACAAATCGATTATTAAACCCATATTACGTCAACACGAAGAGAGAGCATGGTGGTTAGGAGTACCTAGGTCTTGCTGTATAACTTACCTGATTTTAAACTCCAGCCTCATTAATTACTAGCCAGGTGACTGGACAAATGAATCAGCCAAACTGATGGGAATAATAATACCTAACTGTGGGAACCAAACACCAACGTGGGAACCAAAGATCCATTGCTTAGCAAGTAGAAACTAGTCAGTAAGTAGCAAACTAATAGTTCACTTTTATTACATAACAATCTAGCACTGGTACTTTTTCATAATCAGAATATTAAAATATCAGTTAGACTTTCTCATACTAGTATCTATTGGCTACGTATCCAAAACACAAAGACATTTCTCAGATCAACCACATAATAACAAGTCTAAACAGAAACATTAAAACATCTGAATCTTAACTTTGTCCCTTAAAAAAAAATTAAACATGATGGGATTTCAGATGGAAGTAAAAATATCCTGTAGATGCTCAGTACTAATTCCTACCATGCTTGGTAGTTACCAAGAGTCAAAAAAAAAAAAAAAAAAAAAAAATCCCACAACAACAACAAAAAACACTTGATATTTATGGCAAATATAAAGGGGACATGAAGAGCTAAAATAAATGAAGCACAATAGAATTCCTCTTCTTAAAAAAAAAAAAAAAAAAACTTGACATTTCAGGAAATCTGATTAGAAGAAAAAGCAGAAATCATCACACCATTATAATATGGGTAGTCCCTGAAATAGGATTAATAGAGTGGAATAAATGGTTGGCTGAGAAGGGCCCAGCTGGAACATCAGTATCACAATAGGGACAGCTGGGGGGCTGGTCAGACTAGATACCCCACAGAGGATACTCAGAACTCTCAGAAGAAAGATATCAGAGCTGCCTTCTGCCAATTATTTTTTTTTAAAAACTTGTTACTGTATGTTTCAAACTAAAAACTATAACCATAACTTGCTTAAATTAATTTTAGAATCAATATTTACACATGACTCTCTCATTTTATTGAGAAAAGTGGCTTAACCATGAGTTAGATTGTGATACAAATATGCTGGCTCACATACTGCATAACTGTTTACTTTGGGAATGATGTACAGAATGAAATACACAGGAATAAAATAAGAGAGTGTCCACTGTATAGAAAAGGGCCAATTTCCTTCCCTCACTTCTTTCCCAGCTGCCCAGACTCATTTCTTTATCAAATATTACAATTAAATATTTTAAATAGAATTTCAATATATCCATCTAATTAAGGTGAAAAGCAAACAAATTTGAATATGATCTGTTCCCTTCCCCAATATAACATTCCTTATTCTTACATATTAATTTAGCTACATTTTAAATACAGTCTAATAAAATAAAACATAAGAAGGATTTGAAATTTGATTAGTACAGATACATTCCCAACACAGTGTGCTTATAGATGCCATGTTTCTTGCCACTTTCACTTTGTATTTCTGAGGTTATTTTATGCATTAATTTAAAAATAACATACACAAAATTGACATGAGTAAACTCAATGCTTACAGTTTTTGCCATAAATGTAAATAAAGCTCATACCTGATTTAACTGCTGCTATTGCCTTTGCAGGGGTGGTCACAGCACTTATTAAGTTACATAGTGAGATCCCACTGTTGTTTACTTTCTGAATCTCTGGTGTTTTTAAACTCCACTTTTCTTGTAATTTCTTGAGATATAAAAACACATTATTTTTCCATCTTAATATTTTCAAAGTTGCACATTATAATTCAATTTCTTAAACATATCTCAAAGTAGTAATAATTGTAGACCCTGATTTGTGAGGGAGTCAATGAAAGAAAACGGCACTTATTTGTTCCCACAGCCCAGGTGACTGTTAACTCAGTTAACGGTGGGGTATGTATGGCCCATTCTGCCTTCAAAGGTTTCGTAAGTGGCAAGTAAAATCCTAGCCACAGTGGGAGTCAGGCTATTCTTGGCTGCTATGGGTTCCAAAATAACTGTCAACTGTAAGTCTGTAAAACTGTACTAGGTAACAGACCAGTTACAAGATAAAAGGTACTAGGAACAATAAAAATAAATAGGAATTCAGAATTTCATTTTACAGTGTATTTTAATCCTACAAATTTCAATAACTTTTAAACACACACACACACATCCACAAATTTGGAGTGGAAAAAAAAAAAAAATGCCATACTGGTCACAGGTGTTATGCCTTGAGGCAGATGACAAAAGACTTGTGCACTATTTATGCAGGAGATTCAAATAACTTCTCTTTCCGAATACTCGTTATAGTGATACATACAAGCTAGAGTAAAATGCTAAGTGAAGAAGATGTTTTACTTAATATTATGAGAAATGGTATAAAAATTACTGAAACTAAGTAGAGATTTGGTAGGAAAGGAAACTTGATTACTACAATAGTCAGCAACTCATTAATATATTTTTTTAAAAAGCAAATCAACGGAAAAGTTTATGTCCTTTTCCAAAAGAATTAGTTAAGCCCCATGCCATGATTTCCAGAGGGTCAACAAAATATACAGTACATATATGAGGATCAAACTTAGATGATATTAGATCAAAGAAAACTACCATTAGTCTTTTAATCTTTCATTACTGGCACAAATGAAAATTTAGTATTAGATAACAATGATTCACCTTAGTATCTTCCAAAGATTTTCCTAAATCCTCTGCACCAAAAGAAGGCTGCACAATGGGAACTTTTTTTGTTGTTTCTTTTATCCATGACTTCAATGATTTAACAAGAACTTGGAATGCATCCAACTGTTCTTGACAAGAAGTTACAGCTTCTTTTCTACATAACAAAAATCATACAAGAATTTAAGTCACAGAAAGAAGAATAAAATTATTATTCTCATGACACACTTAATGTTAAGAAACCATCTTCCATGTGTACTCTAACCCTTTGATACAGGAGGAAAGGTTTCATAGGTGACAAGTGAAATCAGCTAAATCAGTAGTCCCCAGCCTTTTAGGCACCAGGGACTGGTTTTGTGGAAGACAATTTTTTCCACAGACCAGCTAGAGGGGATGGTTTGGGGATGATTAAAGCACGTTACATTTATTGTGTGCTTTATTTCTATTATTATTACACATTGTAATACATATTAAAATAATTATGCAACTCACCATAATCTAGAATCAGTGGGAGCCCTGAGCTTGTTTTCCTGAACTAGGCAGTCCCATCTGGGGGTGATGGGAGACAGTGGCAGATTATCAGGCATTAGATTCTCATAAGGAGCATGCACCCTAGATCCCTTGCATGCAGTTCACAGTAGGGCTCGTGGTCCTATGAGAGTCTAATGGCTCTAACGATCTGACAGGAGGCAGAGCTCAGGCAGCAATGCAAGTGATGGAGGGCAGCTCTAAATACAGATGAAGCTTTGGTGCCACCACTCACCTCTTACTGTGCGGCCCAGTTCATAATAGGCCATGGACCTGTAGGTACCTCAGGGGTTAGGGAACCCCTGAGCTAAATAACTATTGGTCTATTTCTCAGGCAAGGTTCATAAAGATAGGAGTATTCAAGAAATCTGTAGCCTGTATATAATGGCACTCTTTATAATGCTACATAAGCGCTAAGAATACACAAACAGTTTCAACATTATTTAAATTCAATGAGCTTTGATCTGTCCACTTTATGTGATGCTGAATGCCAGCAGGCACAGAACCAGAAGGGAAAGGTTGACAATCACTGACATGAGGAAAACATAATGCCACCTAGTGGTTTCTACACTATACTACAGTCATGTTTATGGATGGATAAACTGGGGCAGGCAGTCCAGCTTAAAGTCTCCCAAAATGAGATGAAACCTAGTGACTGGAGAATGTTCATGTGTGCCTCCCCTACAGAGACTCAGGAAACTCCCTGGTGAACTGTATGGGTTGTTCTGTATGCTTGGCACCATGGAGGCAGTACACATGCCCAGCACATGAACAACTGTGAGGATAGTTAACATTTGGCATGTGGATGACACGTACACATATGCAAGCGTGCAGAACACTGGCAAATACAAATGCACTGCAGCTGGATTAATTACTGATGACTACATTATTTTAAAGTTGACCCATTTGAAAGAAGAAACGACCTAGATATCACCTAAGAAAACCAAGAACGTTTCTTCTATGCAATGTGAATTAAATACCACATGACAGGATGGAACACATAGCTCTGTGAGAAATAAAGGCAGCACTCAAACATTTCAGGTAGAGAATTCTGAAGAAATAAAGAAGAGTAGTTGGAAGAGAAATGACTTTTCTATGTTTTGAGGCTTTTCTATATAAACTTTAGCAAAATCCAATGTATATTCTAAACTAACACAAGATCAGAAACACAAAAACTCAATCACAAGGTCCTGTATAGCTTTTTAGCTCAACTTAGGTTCATTCACTTGTTTCTAATCTTGTTTTTTCACAGTTTCCTATCTCATCTACTGCTCTTTAAAAAGTAAACTATTATATTAAAAAGGCCATATTGAAACTGCACATCGTTTGTGAGTTGAGCTCACAAAGCAAAGAACCACGAGCTGTTTTTCAAGGTTATTTCTGCCTTTGCAAATAAAAATGTGATATTTGCCATAGGCTTCAGAGACTACAGCAAGTTTAGATCATTTTCAGTAATATACTACCACCATCATTTTTCTTATGTAACATTTTCCACTTTTATGTAAGAAGTATTGAATTTTCCTCCTAAATGTTAAACCAAATAATGTAATTTTAATAGCAAACAATGATCAAAATATAAAAACATTTATAAAGTAGCCCTATGCTTATTCTCAAGTTTTCAAAATTGTTTCAGTTATCTATATAAGTAAATATAAGTATCTCACTCTAATTAATATAAATAGAATAAAATACAATTTTTAAAGTGGTACTTACTTTTCTTTGATGGTATCTTCCATTTCCTTGAATTTCTTTGACAAATTATTTGTTTTTTCAAAAACCAAAGCCTTATCACTTGGTAAGCCATGGCTGGATATCTCCTTCAAGAGACTATGCAAAACTTCAAGATCTTTCTTGTGTTCTAAAAATTCAGAAGTTGATTCCTACAAAGCATTAAGATATTTAGTCAATATAAATATTGCTAGATCTTCAAATGGCATTCCATTCAGAGATCTGTACGGAATCAGAATGGCTCTATTCATAATTTCACATAAGAATGAGTCTGCCTATGGCCAGTATTCTAAATATAATAAACATGCAAATAGGCTTGAAAGAGAACACAGTAAATATTATTTGATTTAAAATGCATTCTATATTTTGTCTCTTTGTGGTTTCTGGTACGTAAGATGATACTTATACTACCTATGATATGTGTGATAAATGATATTTATTTCCAACCAATCAGCAAAGGCTTCAAGGAAAAGATAAGGTTTGAGATTTTTAAAGGAGTAAAACATAGATCTTTACTGATCTATAAGCAATTAAAATGATTGCCAATTATAATTCTGGCAATAAGTATATCAGTTTGCCCTAACTATTAATCTATCTGATTAGCCTCCTGAGTAGTAAGGAAGACATACCTGCATATACTGAGACAATTCAGTAACATCTTTTCCTGGCACATCTACTTCAGTAAGAGCCTGAGTTTTTGTTTCTAAAAATGTTTGGAGCTTTTCTGAGAGGTTCTCAAACAGTTCTACTTTGGTTTTTAGTTCCTCCATTTTAGCAAGAGTTTCTTTGTGTTTATGACTTGCTTCTGAAAACCGAGCACACAAGTCTTTCATTTTGGCTTGCAGTGAGGATGCAGTGGATGGATCTGTTGTTTCCATAAATTTCTTCACTTTTTCATTCATGGCATTTATACTGCTCTGACGACCTGCAATATCCTGTTCCAACATCTAAAATAAACCAAGTATTGCATATGTTTTATTATTATGTTTACCAATAATGTGACAGAATTTTTTAAAATGACTATTCCTAACAACATAAGCTTGCACAACCTGTGACTAGGAAGGTTAACCGTTGAAACTGAATGACAAGTTTGATCTGTCCCTTGAGGAATGCCATCCTAAACCTCTCCGAGAGAGTGAAGAACAGCTGGCTAGTTGCTTGAATGAGGCAGGAGGCTGCTGCTACTCAGCAACCCCTAGAATCTAATGGAGCCTGGGGATTAGCCATGGTCCTAATTCTTAAAAGACTAGACAAGACTGATCTGATTAACCTCATGTGCAGCTGGCTGAAACAATGATAAACAAGATAAGACTCAATGTATGCATAAGCCCTCTATAAGAAATAATATTCAAGAAAAAGTACACAAAGCCCTTCCTACACTTCTTCACAGATAAACCATTTTACACACTTGATTTTGTGCATTACTTTCCACACTCACATTCAGTAAATGTCTCTTTTTCATATCCTTAAATTTATCTTAAATCTATCTATACTTTGAACCTATAAAACTGTTTTTTCAAAAACCTGTAAATGGGACTTTTTTTAAAGTCACTTACAATGTTTTTACTGATGATATCCTGAAGAGCAGCAGAGTTTAAAGGCACTTGACCTTGTTCTTTCAGAGAACTTTCCACACTTCCCATCCAGTCCAGCATTTCATCCAAGCCATCCTGCACACTCAGTGAACGGGTCAAGGTTATCTGGAGTTTTTCATTTCGTTCATTAACAGACTTGGACAGATCCTCGTATCTCCCAACAATGTCATCTACTCCAAACAGATCAGGAAATATTAACAACAAAGTTCTCTTTGCCCTATCCTTTTTCAAAAACACATGAAGGTGAATCATACAATTTCCACATAAAAATTTTAAAAATAAAAAGTTCAATGATAAATTCCTAATGCATAATCAGAGCACCACCTAAAATGTTAAAATATAAAGAAAGAAAAGAGCTCAATGGAAAATGAAAATTGAAATCTTTTTTAAAAAGTTAATATATATCCCATCTGCATTTGAAAAGAGATTTTTTTGGATGCATAAACATTTGAATTGTCTCAGAGAGATGAAAGAATGGTACGAACAGTAAATCTTTGAAATAAATACTGGTTCTCAATCTGACATTTCACATTAGCCATACTTATTGATAATTACTTACGGGGACAAAAAGGTGAGTCGCACACAGCTATTCTCAAGACAATACACAGTTACAAAGATTTATGAAGAATTAACTTCTACATATAAAAATCATCACTCTCTCTCCCTCCCTCACACACACCCATGCTAAGCTTTTGTCATACTTCACAACTTAAGCAAATCACTCGAATGCACAGAAACTGGCAGATGCAAGTAAGTTAAGAAAATAGGCAACAATGAAAATCCATTTAAGTTGAAATTATGCTTCTAAAATATACACTAATTGAATTTATTTAAAAGTTTAACAGCAGACAAAAGAGAAGAATAAACTTAACAGGCTAACCTATCTCATATGAGGATAAACTTTACCTTCAATTCTAAAGATTCAAGGTGCTAAAAAAAAAAACCCTTTCTGGTTTAGTTTTCACTTAACTAAAGTCCCACATGTTCACATCCTACATTCTATATTGTAGACCAATGAAGAGTTTGAACAATAATGGTTTTTAATGTATTCATCTCTTTCTCTCTGGAAAACAATGTTTTAAATGGTGAATTTGTCACTTATTGTCCAAGAAGTTGAAAAATAGTTTAATTATTTCTGAATGCTTTAGTCTTACACATTGTAGAAAGCTTCAGTAGGGAAAAGCTGTGTCCTGAAACATCTCTATAAAATGAAATATCTTACTGGCTTGTGTTTGGACCATGAAACATAATCTATACAACAAAATAATATAATTGTTCTAATGCTACATCATGAGAAAACATCTTGAACATTTTCACTGAAGTGAGAGGTTAAGTTTGGATGATTTAAAGAGAAAATCATGCTCCTCTTACTAAAACACAATGAAGCCCATCAGCATACTGAGTGGGGAGGGAGACAGCATTTAATATGCAGGAAAATGCTGTCAGCAGAGGAAACAAGCAGTTGTTCAAAAATAAGCTCTAAACAATAGATGCTGGAGACTACTAGTTGGGGGAGAGAGGTGGGAAGGTAAGGGCTGAAAAACTACCTATTGCAGACTATCTCATTACCTGGGTGATGGGTTAGATCATATGCCAAACCTCAGCATCATACAATATACCTTTCTAACAAACCTGCATATGTACCCTCTGATTCTGAAATAAAAGTTGAAGAAAAAAATGAGCTCTAATTTGGAAACTCACAAGAGCACATGCTCTGAATGACAGCTTGAGGTTGGCAGGTTAGCGACTTCTCAGTTGGGCAACCGCATCAACAGGGTAAGTAAAATCAGTGATCTGTTCGGCCATAATAAGTGACTTCCCAAGGAAAGCCAGCTAGTTTCATATAATTAACAGATCTGAGTGTTACTGTTTGCTGTAGAATAAATGTGTCCCCCAAAATTCATATACTGGTGCCAAAGTCCCAATGTGATAGTGTTGGGTGGTGGGGCCTTTGGAAGATGTGATATTATCATATAAGAAATATTTGGTCTCTGACCATAGCTCTTGACATAAAGTTCCTATAATCCTTCTGATTTCCTCAGTAATACAGACACTAAGGACAATCTTTTGTTCTGATATTTGGTCATTGACCCCAGTTCCTGACACAGAGTTCCTAAGACCTTTGTGATTTCCTGAGTGATAGGAGTGTATGACAGAGCTCCTAAATCCCTCGGAATTTCCTGAGTGAGGGGCATCTTTTGTTTGAATGAAGTGATGCCTGGTGCCTTCTGGATAGTCTTAGGGTAGGGGGAGCAGGGGAGAGTGGCAGATGTTGCCAGGGAACCAACCATGTGATTAGACAGTTGGAACTGTCACCCTCTCAACCTCTGAGGAGGGAAGAGGGGCTGAAGGTTGAGTTGCTACCAATGGCCAATGATGCAATCAATCATGCTTATGTAATGAAGCTGCCATAAAAACCCAATAGGATTGGTTCGGGGAGCTTCTGAATAGCTGAACACATGGAGTCCTGGGGGTGGCACGCCTATAGAGGGCATAGAAATTCTGCTCCCCTCGTCCCATACCTCACTCTGTATATCTCTTCCATCTGGCTGTTCATCTGTATCCGTTGTAATATCCTTTATACTAAGTGGGTAAATGTAAGTAAAGTCTTTCTCTGAGTTCTGTGAGTCACTCTTGCAAATTAACTGAACCTGAGGAGGGTCAAGGGAACCCTAATTTATAGCTGATCATTCTGAAATACGGATCACAATTTGGGACTTGTGATTGGTATCTGAAGTGGGGATAGCATTATGAGACTGACCCCTTAACCTGTGGGGTCTGAAGCTAATTCCAGGTAGACAGTGTCAGAATTGAATTGAATTGAATTGAATTACGGGACATCCAGCTGGTATCTGTTGGAGAATTGTTTGGTGTATGGGGAGAAATACACACACACATCTGGTCACAGAACTGTTCTGTGTCATGATCAATGGTGTATGAGAGTGAGTAGCAAAAACACTCAGATTTTTTCTCTCTCTCTGAGGAGGTAATTAGGTCATGAGTGTAGAGCCTGTGTGAATGGGATTAGCGCCCTTAGAAGAAGAAACAGGAGAGAAATGATGTCGCTCCACCACTCTCTACCAGCAAGATAGCAGCCATCTATAAGCCAGGAAAAGGGCCCTCACCAGAACCCGACCATACTGGCACCCTGATCTCTGACTTCCAGCCTCCAGAACTATGAGAAATAAATGTATGTTGTTTAAGGTATCTGGACGATGGTATTTTTGTTATAGTAGCCTATATGAAGACACTGTTTAGTTTGTACTTCTTAGTGATAAAATATTGTCACTGAAGTAAATTCTTGACTTTAGTAAAATAAAAATTATTTTAGAAAAAGGTACAAAAATCTACTATAAGAATGTTATTTTCTTAAATCATTGGTTTTCTTAGAAGTCAGAAAGATCTTAGAGAAACTCCTCTATACCTTAGTTTCACACATTTCCTAGAAAATTATGCCAGAAGTTTTAGTTTTAAAATAATGTAACAAATGAATTTTAAGCAACTAAAAGTGAAACTATGTACACTTAACAATGAGAAAAAATATCAAAATGCCTCTTCAAATAACAGAAATACAAATAAGATAGTCTGTCTTTCTCCTTCATATCCTTATACCCAAATCCTCATAGCACTGGTATCTAAGGTGGATATATGAGATGCTGCACTGGGACAGAGGAACAAAATGTTAGAACTTCCATTCATATTTTCATTTTATACTTTAAAACTCTATACTTGTGTTTCATAATTATAACACATATGATATAATAATATAGTAATATGTTCATATGACTTATAAATATATCTGCATGTATGGGGATGCAGGCTGAAGATAAATTTTTGATGGGGGTACATAATAAAAAACATCTGGATATGTGTAAGAATAAAATACAGGGTTTCCCTTCTACACAGTGATCTTAAAAGAGCTAAGTTCCATTCTTCTCTTCAAATAAAATTTCAACTCAGATCTTAATTCATGCTCTATTTAGGGCAAAACATATGTCTAATCATCTGTTGTGGAATATTTTTACTTCACATATTCACACATAGAAATATACAATAACATTAAATATTGTGAAAAGCAGGGCAGTAAAAACAAAAAATACATATGTAAGATAGTAAAAAATATATATTGATAATCCACTGCATATTTGATATAAACTAAATACTGTGGGTAGATACAAAGATAATATACAATAGCTCTTTTCTCAAGAAACACATTAATCACAAACTCTTGGGCTTGAATGATCCTCCCCAAATGTTGGGATTACAGGTGTGAGCTTCTGCACCTGGCCTGAGAGATGTGCTTTGAGAAGTCTTCCCACTTCTCTGTGTTCTAGAATTTTTTTATTGGCCGCACTCAAATTGAGAATTCAGTTACCCCAATTCTTCAGTGATAATAGAAACTTGATTACGGCTGTAGTGGTACTTTTGTGCACAAAACATTTGGGGAGGATTATTTAAGCCCAAGAGTTTGAGACTAGCCTGGACAATATAGTGAGACCTCATCTCTACAAAAAAAATTTTTTAAATTAGCTGGGCATGATAGAGCACTGCTGTAATCCTCACTTCGCGGGAGGCTGAGATGGGGAAGTCAAAGCTGCAGTGAGACATGACTGTGCCACTCCACTCAGCCTGAGCAATAAAGTCACCCCGTCTCTAAAAATAAATAAATTCAATTTGATTCAATTAAGCACATCTTTCAACCTCTTAAACCCATGTTCCCACTATTGATAAAGACTTTTGGCCTTAAGTTGAAAGCCTTCCTCTGCCCAATCCCATCGACCAAGAGAATTTTGTGAAGTTCTACTTCCTGTGGTGGACATTATGTAGTGAGTTTCTGTTACGTTTTCTAAATATCAAATTTAAATTTAAATATACTATCTTCAAGACACATAGCTCCTGCCCCTAAGATTCTAATATACCTGCCAAAGAAGGCATGCCTTTTCCCAGATTCAGGAACACCATTTCACAGAGAAAGAGCACACAGAACACAATCTATAACTAGTGAACATTTTTCTCCGTATCTATTAGGACACCTTTCTTCAGAATTTACCTGTGAGACAGGAAGCAAGGACATGAATATCTTACCAAGTGTTTTCTGGATATCATTCTTGGCTGGAAGTAAAGATCCCCTGGCATCTAAAAGCACTTCAGCCGTTTTCTTCAGTTTCTCTACAGCAACCTGCTGACTTGATATCTGTCCTTGCAGAGCCTGTAGGATTAAATGCTTTTCAATTATACTCAGTAGGACTAAATAATAGATTTCTAATGTGGACAAAATGATTTCTAATAAGATAAAGTAAAATTGGACAGAATAAACTTCTCATCATACCAACTTTCATCATCAACTTACTCCAGAGTTCTTAGAAAAAGGCCAGTTATAAAGCAGCATTAGCAAAAGCATCAGCCAGTCTGGATAATACAAATTAAGTTGTGAAATAAACCCTTAAGCATATGTTCATAATAATTTCCCTGGTTCCTGGTCATACAATCCTCTAACTTTATCCCTTGAGTTACCTCTTAACCCCTACTTCTAGGCTTTGCACAATACCCCAACTACTACTAAAACGAACAACAAAAAAAAATTTGAGACCATTTTTGACTCCAGGTAAGGAGATAAATAAGCTCGCCCAAATCAGTAGATCCTGAGTCAATACTGAGTCATATTTATTTCTGTTAATTCAATAAAAGTTACTGAACATCTAACAAAATCAAAAAGTCTTGCTACATTTTGTGAACAAATAAAAATAAAAATGGACATGAAGCTTACTTTCAGGGATTTTATGGTCTGAGGCAGGAAGTGGTAAGTGCCACAGGTGAGTATGAAAAAATGCTACTGGAAGTTAACAGGAAAAAAAAAATGGGAGGGAAATGAGGGCCACCTCAATGGTAGTGACACTGAGATGGCTCTTTAAGAAAGTGTGGATTTGGGAGAACAACTCCCTGCAGAACAAACAGAAGACACAAAGATGAGGACAGAAAAATCACAGGAGAAGGGGAGAGTCCAATTCAGTTTGACAATGCGTACGGGTGAGTAAATAGAAATAGGCCTGGAAAGGCCTCAAACGTCAGGCTAAGGCGTGTACATTTCATCTCACAGCAATGGGGACTTACGCAGGGCTTTTGGGTAAGGGGTTGACATGCTCAGGGCTGTCCTACAGAAAGGCTAAATTTGTGGCACTGCATGGGAAAAATCCAACAGAAATGAAAGAAAGCAAAGATACCAGTTGGGGACAACTTCAGCAGTAACAAAACAGTGAGGACTACTGAAGGCCGAGGGCTGAAGACAACTTCACTGTTCGGTCTGTTTGGACTGAGAAGGCGGAATTAGTTAGAGTTGGGAAGAGTCCAAAGGACTTGGTAACACTATGTAAAGTTGTGTTACCCGCTATGGTAGCTACCAACTACATGTAGCTTTTAAAATTTAAATTAATTGAAATTTTAAACAATTAAAAATTCCATTTCTCGGTTACACTGGCCACATTTCAAGTGCTAAGTAGCCACTGTGGCTAGTGGCTACCAATTGAACACAGCAGAGTACCACTGGCGTGGTGGCTCACACTTGTAATCCCAACGCTTTTTGGGAGGCCAAGTTGGGAAGATCACTTGAGGCCAGGAGTTCAAGATCAGCCTAGGTAATAAAGTGAGACCTTGTCTTTACAAAAAAATTAAAAAATTATCCAGGCATGGTAGTCTGTGCCTGTAGTCTCAATTACTCAGGAGGCTGAGGCAGGAAGACCGCTTGAGCCCAGGAATTTGAGGCTGCAGTGGGCTATGATCATGCTACTGTTAACTCCAGCCTGGGTGGCAGAGTGAGATTCCCACTTTCTTAAAATAAATAAATAAATAAATAAAAATTTAAAAAAATAAAAAATTTCATCATCACAGAATGTTCTATTAGACAGCACTGCTGTAGGGAGCAGGAACAAAGGATAAGAGGAGACAAGAGTAGAAATGTCCAAAGATTTTGAGCCTAGGTAATCAGTGGAATTTACTTTTGCTTTCTTTTTTTGGGGGGCGGGGGGGAGGACAGAGTCTCACTCTGTCGCCCAGGCTGGAGGGCAGTAGTACAATCTCGGCTCACTGAAGCCTCGACCTCCCAAGCTCAGGTGATCCTCCCACCTGAACCTCCCAATTAGCTAGAACCATAGGTATATGCCATCATGCCCAGCTAATTATTTTGTATCTTTTGTAGAGCCAGGGTTTTGCCACGTTGCCCAGTCTGGTCTCAAACTCCTGGGCTCAAGCAATCCTCCTGCCTCGGCCGTCCAAAGTGCTGGGATTACAGGAATGTGCCAATGCTCCCTGCCAATTAGTGGAATTTATTTTAAAAAAAAAAAAAAAAAAAGTGAGAGCAAGCTTAGAGTAAAGGAATGCCTGTTTTGGAATTCATGATTTCAAAGTGCTTTTGGGACCCTCGTCCAGAAGGAAACAGCAAAACTGGAAATGAGAGAGACTTGGAACCCAAACTGGAAACAGACACAGAGAATTGGAAGTCAAGACACATGATGTGACTCCCAAACAAGAAAGCACAGGCATGCCAGAGAAGGAGATTCTAAAGAATCATGGAGAATATTTATATATAAGTGATGGGGAGAAGAATAAAAAAAGAACACATGTAATTGGTGGGGTGGAAATGGGCCCAGAACAACTCCGTCCCCAAAGATTAAAGGAAGAGAGAAGTGGAAAAGGTTAACAGTGTCAATTGCTTCGGAAAGGATAATGTAAACTGAAAGACTAATGAGTCCTGGATTTTAATGAATAGCGGTCCCTGCATATCTCTGAGTGAACAGATGTGGCTCAACAATGGGAAGGAAGAAAAAAAAGGTAGAAGCAGAAGCCATAGATACGTCTTCCAGAAGTTGGACCCTGCATTTCTAACAGCTCTGACAGATCTCTGCAAAAGTGGGCTGCCTGGCCACACAGGTCTATCCCCGGCCTTAATTTCTCTTAAGCAACTCACGCTCCTCTTCTACTCTTTCATTTGGATTTCAAAGCCCCCAGTGTCCAATTGTAGATGTGAACTCATCCTTGGCCATGGGCCTAGCTTTCCAAGTGCCTCTTGAGTGTTTCCATCTGGGTGTATGCAGTCACCTCCAACTCAAAAAAGCTAAATCTGAACTCATCATCTCATTCTCTGTACCTGTACTTTCTCCTGGGATATATCTACCTACCCAAGTAGTCAACCTGAAGTTCCTCCTAGATTCCATCCTAAGGCTTCTTTTCCACATGCAAATCAACCATTTAAAGCTTTTTTTCCACACATGCAAATCAATCAACAATTTTACCTGCTTAATATTTTTTAAAAGTCAGCTTTTGCTCCATATTTCTGTATCATTACAGGATAATCTCTCACTTGGATTGTTGAAAAAAGAATCCTGTGTTCCTTTCTCCAATCACTTCTCTAATATAGCTGCTAATGTGTTCTATCTAAAATACATATCTGACCACATGTCACCCCGATATAGTTTGGATATCTGTCCCCGCCCAGATCTCATGTTGAAATGCAATCCTCAACGCTCAAGGTAGAATCTGGTGGGAGGTGATTTCTTATGAATGATTTACCATCATCATCGTGGTGCTGTCCTCAAGACAGTGAGTGAATTCTAGCAAGATCTGGTCATTTAAAAGTATGTAGCACTTCCTCACTGCCCCCATCTCTCTCTCTTTCTCTCTCTCCTCTCTCTTACTTGCTTCTGCTTTTGCCATGTCACATGCCTGCTCCTGCTTTGCTTTGCACGGTGAGTAAAAGTTCCCTGAGGCCTCCCCAGAAGCTGCGCGATGTCAGTGCCATGCTTGTACAGCCTGTAGAATTGTGAGCCAACTAAATCTCTTTTCTTTATAAATTACCCAGCTTCAAGTATTTCATTATAGCAACACAAGAACACCCAAATATAACCCCCTGTTAAAATCTCTTAGTAGTCTCCCTTCACAAAAAGGCCAAGACTTGAGCATGCTACAAAAGGTCCAACGAAACCTATTCCCTAATTCTACCTTCAATCTCAACTTTCTGTTCCAGAAATGTCCAACACAGCTATTTCTTAGCTATTTATTCATGCTGGACCCAATGTCTTAGTAACTCTACATATCAACTTTTTCATGCAACCTTCCCCCATCATCCTGAACTTGGCTCTTATTCACC